GGAATAATCTTCTCAGGAGGAGAAATGTGTAGTCAGATGGCAGCTGAGGGGAATGTTGGGAGCCATTGAAGTGGAGAAATGAAGCCTGAGTGTGCAAGAAAATACTGATGGAAGTCAAAGGAAAGGTGGTGTTGGAAAGACACGGGTGTGTATGACAAGTGCAGGTGAAGTGCATGTTCTCAGATTTGTAATGTGCATACTGCAAGAATTGAACCATAGGTTCATACAGGTTGGGAGGATGTTCAAATATCATCTAGTCCAGTGTGTTGTATCTGGAAATTCTGCTAGTCTTTGTACGGCCCCATCCATTTCCCACTTGTATTAATCAGAAAAAAAATCAGAAAAACCGAGCACTCTCTGTTAATGGGAAGCCTGCCAGGAGCTGAAGGCACTCAGAGGACAAGGCCTCTGCTGATTGTCCTCCTTTTGCTGTTTCTGGTTTTCTAAGTGTTTTCCTCATATCACTGTGTGGTGCACACTGGAAATGATCAATCAAGGCTCATGCACAGGATCTTTTCATGCTGGCAAGTGAAAAATCAATTTGTGTTTGAAGGAGTAAACAGTAGCACGAGCTTCATTTCCCCAGACTCAAAATGGATTCCTTGATAAAGGAGATGACAAGGAAAGCTGAGCTCTTGATGTATAAGCACATAGGTGCTCATGTGCAAGAAATCAGTGGACTCCTACATTCATTTTCCATGCTACACTTACCTTTTCAATAAAACAAAGATAGGAAGAAGAGATTACTTGTTGAATGCCAATTGTGCATCAATAAAACCAGGGGGATTGTTCATGAACAGTTTATACAGATGAAAATGTAGTCGGTCAGTTCTGGGAAAGACATTATTCATGGTGTATTTCTGCTTTATGGTACTACATTTGAATTTTCAGAACTATTTTCACAAGTCTGTTGGAAGATTCTGTTGCTAGCATTTCTGAGAAATGTCTGCTGTTGGATGTAAATTACAGGGAAAAGAGTCTTTGTATGATATTTCTGTGCCACGAAAACAAAATCTGATCTCATGCAGGTTATAAATTGTCCGGGAGGTAAGAGTAGTCAAGGAACTGTAGAATGAATAAATGGAAGGTTAGACCAACGTGACTCATCAGATATTGTAACCATTCACCCAATGTCATTTGATCTTATAACATTAAAGGCTGCTATTCCCTCACTCCTAGATTTCTGCCCTCCTTCCCTCCCTTTAAAGTTCAGCACTGAGCCACCCAAGCCATACATTAAACCCTTTGGTTCCACATCATTTAAGCGCTCTCCTCTCTCCTGTGAGACCAAAAAGTGAAGAAAGCTGTAGAATACTGGCTTGTATTAGGTGGAATATTTGACCATCTGACCTTTCCTTTTTTCCTTTTTTTTTCTTTTTTTCCTTTTTTTTTTTTATTAGTAAGCAATATTTGAAAGTAAACATGAAGCATTTTGATGCAAAAGAGGTCTGCCATATTAAAAGGAAATTGGAAGATGAGTTCAGTGTAGCATGTAGCTGTTGTGAAATCTTGCTTTGATTGAAGTTTTATTACCTCAGGACGTCTGTCTGCAGCTTATGTGCTGTTCTTCACTTGGGGGTTTGTGAATGCACTGCTGGCTGAGAGAAGAGCTCATGATGTGAATTGCAACCACTCAGTCTTGCAGAAGCCAAGTTCCTAAAATCTGTCCTTTCAGCTGAGTTAGACCATGCTGCTCATAAAGGAACAAAAGCACCAAGAGCATGCACAAGTGCAAACTGTGTCCTCCTTTTTAGACTCTGATTAGTGATGCAAGCTGAAGAGGAGAGAGAGGGGATGGAGAATCACATAATGGGTCCTAAAATGCTTGATTTTTATTAGATTAGGAAAGTAGTAGTATGGGATGAATGTCCAATCTTGACTAAACTACAAGAGGATCGTGGCAGTTTATTAATGGCAATTCTAATACCAATTTGTTGTAGCGCTAGCACTTGGGAAAGTGATGAATATTGTATCTGCTCTGTTTCATTCTGTCCCAGTGAATCTGTGCTTGGATGCCATGGTGTGCCATGTGGGCCCGCTCACACTTGTTAGCTGAATGCAAGTGTTTATGGACAATTAAACTTGCAATTTTTAATTCACACTTTGAAAGGTTGAGAGGTTGTTTTTTCTTTTTTTTTTTCTTTTCAAGACACTCTAAATTTCTAATAGATCTGTGCCTTTCAAGTCTCTTAAAATGTGCAACTGCAGCACGAATTTAGAAAAATGGTCTCATTTCTTTAGAAATCCATTAATAGTAATGTACTGAAAGACTCTTACATTGATCTTCTCTCTGATAGCCATGTTGTAATAATTATTCTTTTAATGTTTGCATCAATCTAAATGTTTTCCTCTTTGTGCTCTCTTCTACTTGGATCTCCCTATATGACAATCACAGCACTTTGACATCTTGCATTACTTTAATACCAATGATTCAAAACAAAGCAATGCCAAAGGGAACAAAAGTTCTGTCAAGCCATTAAAATCTTCTTTGCCATTAACACAATTAAATTGATGCATGAGCATTTAAAGTTATTAGCAAGTGCTGCCAGCAGAAGCTGGTTACAATTGCATAATATATAGTGGGCTTTATTAAAGTAAAATGGTATGTTTACTGTTATTATCATCATTAGTTCTGAAGTAACATAAACTTAAACAGGGATGTGAATTGGGAGAGAACTGTGAGACAACCAAGAACAAGCTCTGTCCTGTATTAATAGTGAGCGACACAGTCATCACTTTTCTAAACAAAGAAATACACATGGTACCTTGGCTAACCATTACAGCTGGCATGTGTAATGGTAGGGAAGGGTGTTAAAGAAAGAGAGCTTCTGTACCTCTGCTGCTCTCACTCTTCCCAGTCTGACTCACTCAGCTGGATTTTGGGCTGCTCCTGTTTCTGCGGTGAGAAATTTTGTGGTTGATGTGTTCACTGTGAGCTTTTTGGAGGACTGTTTGTTTTGTTTTCTCATATTCCAACATATTAGCTTTTCAACGAAAAAAAATGAGGCGTGTATTAGAGACACGTGTTCTGTCCCACTGCACAGTGCAGTAATACCCCTGCTTGCTAACCTTTTGATTAACCATATTCCTCACTGAATGGGGAGCTGGTATGAGGAATGGAAAACACAGAGGAGCATAGAACTTTATTGAGAGAGAAAAAAGTAATTTAAGTGAAAAGTAGGGAGATGAAGGAAGTCCCATCAAGTCCAAGTCCTGTCGTGTAAGGGTGGACTGCTTGTCTGTTGCAGTTTATGCTGACCACACATGGGCAGTTCTCAGCCAGACTTGTTAGGTAATTTGAGCTGAGTAGAAACTGGGGACAAAAGGTAAGGTTCTTTTTTTGGTTGTTTGACAGTTTTAAGGTGATATTGTGGAAAGTTATAATCTAAAATAGATAAAAATCACTAACATCCCTGTGGTGTAGTCATATTCACTTGGGTAATCCTTTACCAAGATACTGATGAACTACTGGGAATTCAGAGAACAGTGGTGAAATAAGCCAAAGGGGAGGAAAATCTGGTTTATCAGGAAAGAAGGTAAAAGTTGAACATAGAGCATTTGAAAAAAAGTGCATATCTGTGTATGGTGTAAATGTGAAGGGAAGTAATGGATTACTTTTACTAATGGGAAGGGCTCTACAGAAAAGCTGAGTTGACACTGAAAGCAAAATTTTAACCATTATAAAGAAAGTACCAAGTAATTTACAACACTCCAGACTTCATTAAGGGAAGGAGTGGGAGACCCATTTCCCTACAGTTTTTGGGTCAGACTAGCCATAGTACCAGAAGATAGGGGGCTACATTAGCAGAGCATGAGCTTGGTGATCTAAAAGGTCTCTGTGGTCTTTGACTTCTGCAGCTGTGTGGATTTATCCATGAGGCTTAGTGCTGGCTGAAGTGCAGGCAGAAGGCCATGGTCAGTGCTTTGGTCAAGCCCTGTAGCAGATTAGGATGACAGGGATTAAGTTTAGTCATGACTGTCTTTCACCAAACCAGTTACTAAGGGCAATGAGGTAGAAGAATCAGACAGAAAAGTCTCCCTGAATATTTCTGGCACAAAGGACTTACCTGTGCTTTGGTACCTTCCTGAATATTGTCTCTTCCTCTCCTGCTTTACCCCACGATAAGAGCCCACCATAGCTCTGTGCAAGTGCCACAGAGTGGCTGTACTTACAGGTCACATCTGCCTGTTGTTTCTGTAATTGTTCATGATATTTAAAGGTTTTGTACTTTTTCATATCCTTAGAATGAAGGATTGTGGCAAATGCTGTAAGTACCATTTAACAAGTATTTTCAATTGGAATGTATTAGCAGCATCACTGTGTGTGTGCATGGGTGTGGCTGGGTGCAGAGACAAATTGAATCTTTCTGAGGGGAGAAGGAGCAGCTGTCAGGCCACTGGAGGTGGATGCCTGTGTGCTGTGCAGGCTGCAGAGGACACTGAACCTGCAACAGGCTGATGGAGTGAGGGACAACAAAATCAGCAACCACCCTTATAGTCCAACCAGTATTTTACTACAGTATATATTTAAGTTTTAAGAGCTGTCTGGGCTGTTAGCCTATTAAGCTGTAGGATAAGATAGTTGATGATAACAGCTTTCTCCTGTTATCACCTCTGTCCTTCTCTGCAGCATGTGGCAAGTTAAACCAAACCTCGCCCTCTCTCTGAAGGCTGCCGATAGGAGTAACAGTGGGATCTTCTTCAATTACAGAAGTTTCAGGCAATTCCACTGCCAGTTCTCAACTGTGAGGAAATCAGAGTACTTTATTGCTTCAAAAGTGTCGTTAGTAACACAAAGCAGCGTGGAAGAAAAAAACAACTTTTGACAAAATGGGTACTGCTGATGATTTATGTTGATCTGAACTGGAAAATTTGGTAGGCAGCAAGCATGGATACAGCAATCTTCAAACAGAGGCAGTTGCTTGTTAGCTGTTCACCTGTGTGGTTGAACTTTGCATCCAGCACCTGACTAAACATTTCTTTTTTTTCTTTAAACCTAGGTTGCCCTTCCCAATGACTCCAGCTGTGTGGAAGAAATACTGCGGGTAAGTAATACCCTTTGCTTTTTTATCTCCTGTATAATTGTAGTGCTGTTATTTTCATCTTCCAAGGAGAGGGTTTATAGGGCTGTCTTTAACACTGTAGTTAAATAATAACATATCAGTGGGTCTGTATTAAGAGACACATACAGGGGGTAGGCCCAGGGTACTCCTTAGTGAGATCAGTTCACCTAAGACTGCATCTGCCAGCTTGTTTCAGTCAGGATTTACACATGTTCCTGTCCTTTTCAAGCTCAGTCCCTGAGTCTATCCAGGACACATTTCTCTCCTACCCTGAGGTGCAGTTGCCTTAATTCTTCTACTCACAAACTGACCTACAGTCTTCCTCCTTCCTCTGGACTACAATTGCTCATCATTCATGGTTTTGTTAAAGACTTACAGACGTTTTCTCTGTGATCTTTGGTCAGTGGTTCAATACAGAAAATTGCAACTCCAAACTAAGAATGGCTTAATTACAACAAGATCATGTAATAAGAAAAAGGGAGTGTGCACAAGTTGTATGCCTTACTCTAAGTGTAAGATGGGCTCTTTCTCAGACACGCCAGCATTGGGGTTCCCTGTTGGCAGTGAGATTTGCCTGGGGGCAGTTTTTCAACCCACCAGTCCCTCTCTCAGATTTAGCTTTTCCTCCTCATGGGTTGAGTTTCCCATCTGTCATAGCTACCTGCCTGGGATTGCCAGCCAACCAGCTGATTTTTGGTGTAAAAGGGATAAAATTTCAGTGGGAATTTGTGCCAGCCATGTCCTTGTTACTGGAGGTAGTGCTGCAGACTTACCCAGACCTGAAATCATGTGTAACAATCATGCCAGCTTGTTTGCAAAGACTTACTCTTGCTTATAAAATGAAAGAAGCTTCTCACTATTCATTGCAATTCAGAGTTAAATAGCTTGGAAAACTTGCTCCTGGTTTCTGTACACACATTATCTTGGGCTGCTCTAGATGTCCTTATGGGGTGGCAGTGTTGCTGCAGGAGTGTTGAGGCAGTGGGCAGGTGTGCTCGTGCAGACCTGCTGTAAGGGAGAAGAACCTGCATGAGCACCCAGGAGCAATGAATGCAAGGAAATAAATAATATTTACTTTCAGCCTTCAAAGTGAGCAGAGGTTTATTACCTATGGAACACCAAGGGAGCAAAAGCAAAGGAAATGTTGAAAGGCTCTGCAAAATACTTGGTATATTTAAAATGTCTCTTCCTTTTATATATTTCAATTAGGTTCATTACTATAGTTGAAATTAATGACTTGTTGGCTGGGGAAAGCAGTTGTTTTCAGTAAAAAGCATCAAAAGAAAATGTGATGGGGTGAATTTCAGGGATCAGTCATCCAGGTGACACTTTTAGTGTGGGAACAACATGTATAAATCACAGGAAGCAGAAATGTCTTTTTTCTAATCAAGACGGTGACCCTATTTCCTACACCATGAATTTAATTTGAGTCAACAAACAAGCACAATATGCTGGGCTTCCTTCTGAAACCTGTTGAGATTGGAGCAGGTTTTCTGTTGCCTTTAGAGAATGGGGATGATCTGCAGAGCCCCTGCTCCTGCCACCAGTGAGCCATCAAACTTGGGGGCACTTTTGATGTGGACAGAGCAGGGATTTAGCAGCATTCCATGTCTCTGGGGATCTCTCTCACAAGGACATGTGATGGGCCTGTGAAGAAGGGATACAAACCATCAGATCTTTCTGGACTATGGCTGCAGGTGCCCAGAAGCATCCCTCGTGCCCATCCTGGAGTAAACCTGTCAGGCATAGCAGCTGGCATGGCCAGAAGGCACCTGGGGCACGACACCTGTGTTAGGGTGCAGAGACAGCCTTGGCACGTGGACCTCAGCCATGGTTCCCCCAGGGTGCTCCCCTCCATGTGCAGGAGGGAGGTTTGCTGCTGCTTCCCAGGGACTCTGTGCCCTGGGCTGCTCTGGGCACCCCAGGCTGCCTTCAGCCTTTTGTAACCTGCCTGCACTGGGCTGCACAGCCCTGCCTGTGTGAGCACAGCAACCCAGAGCTGCTTTGGGACTGCTCAGCAAAGAGCCAGCAGACCCCAGCCGCAGCTGGATGCCCTCGGGGCAGCGGCTCAGGATTCCGACCACACGTGGTGCTGAAGCACACCTGGCACTAGAAGTACCTGGGTTTTGTCAGTGTTTTACTTTGTTCTTCACAAATTTATGCTGCGGAACAAGCTAGCAGGAAATGTGTTTTGGCTGCATGCAGGATATCATATTCTACTTGACAGGCAGTGGAGAGAAAATAAGTAAGAGAATGTGATGCCCAGCAGTGGTCAAAATCCAGTCTTTGGGCTCCCCATGGAAACCGTGTCAGAAGATTCAGGCTGGCTGCTCCAGATGAAAGAATGACCCTTGGTTTCAGCAGAAATTTGCACTTTGAGAACCTGGATTAAGTTTCCAGCCCTGACAGATACTTCTTGGCCTTTCAGGGCCATTTACATAGGCTCTGATGAACTTTTGAGAGTGTGGGTCTCAGCTCCCTCATGGCAGCTTTTCTCAGTAAAAACACCATGTTATTCACATTTCTGTCCTGTCAGGGATGTTACAGAGGTAAATACAAAGGATTCCAAGACAGTCAAGCCCCAGAAGTGGACAACTGGGCTGTAATTTTGCATTTTGCCCAGCCAAACCATTGGCAACCCCTGGCAGTTTCTGCTCTGGGCTGTGTCTGCTGCCAGGCTGTGCTCCCCAAAGAGCTGGGGAAGGGTGCTCTGCCTGGCACTTGCCCTTGGAGCAAGGCATACCTTGAAATTTGCATTTTTTTTTCTGTTTGGATTTGTTTTGGTTTTTTAAGTTGGAGGATTAATTCAGTTCCATCCCTCAGAAAGACACAGTAACTCTCAAGGGCTTCTTTGCTAGACTTTACAAGGAAGAGGTACTCCTGCAAAGATCTGTGACCTCTGATTTTACATAGCTCTTTTTTCAAGCTGAACTTGATTAATGGGTTCTGTAATTGTAGAGGTTTGTAATTCCTAATCTGTCTTCTTTTTTTTTTTTTTTTTCCATCTTGGAGAAAAAAGGTTTAATTGAATTTATATTCTAAAATTTTCAACCAAGTGAGGGGAAAGGTCTTGACTTCATTCAGACCCCTGAGTCTTCAGAGACAAAATTTCACAGTCCTTTAGATTTCCTGAAACACTTAGCTTCTTATGTCATCTTGTGTAAATGCTTTAAGGACTGTTCCCAATACTACAGCCAAAGGTTAATGGCAGAGCAGTCTCCTGCTGATTTTACTTTTCTAACCAGGATGGCTGAGAAGGTTGTGAAAAATAATAATAAATAATAATAATAGTAATCATCATCATAATCTCTTATGCAACTAAGGCCAAACAGTAATGATAGCACAGATTGCATTTAATACAGACTGCTACTGAAACTGAAAGATAAAGACAAATACCTGGTGGTCTACACTTTTTTCTGTTCCAAAATGTGTTGGAGTTATTTTTCCAGCCAATGCAGTGGTTTTGAAAGTGCAGATAATATGGAACACAGGCAATTAAAAGTATGTGCGTGTAATTCACATTTTATTAAAATGGATTTAAATTAAGTTGTCACTTGCTATGTGCATCCATTGAAAAATGAGTTCATTGAAATGTTGTGATACAAAGTGCAGATGGGGCAGGAGAACTGACATTTAAAACCAGTCTCCAAAGCTGTTACTTGTGCCACTTGTACCAGTGCTTGACATCAGAGTGCCTTGCTGTCAGTGCATGTGATGTGAGCCATGTGCTGGCCCAGGGAAGGGAGGTGTGCAGGTGGCACGGAGGGTGAACAAGCAGTGATCCTTTTCCTGTCTGTGGAGAGCACAGAAGGGACCTTCCTTAGCCTTGGTTTACCCCTGGCTAAAGAGTTGATAAGTGCACAACACTGCATGGGAGAGAAAGGAAATTTTTTTTTAAGTACATGTTCTGGAGGACTTGGAGTGTAAATTGGAAATTCGGGCTGGGTGTTCAGGCAATCAATCGGACATAACCCAGCGCTGCACCCAGGCAGGCTCTGCTCTCTGGAAATCCGTCCCTGCTTAGAGGAACAAAAGAATTGTTGTACATGCATATTCACAGTAGGAAGGCATCAAGTAACTAGATGGACTTCTGATGGTATGTGGACAGCTGTGATACTAATTAGAAGCTTTCCACTCTGGAAGCAAAACAGATCCCAAATATAGTTCAGATTGTAATAAGTGTAAAAATGACTGGAGTTAAATGAGCAAAGTCTCTAATTTGTATGGTCGTCTTCTGATGACTAGCTCCTGTCTAATGACATGGGAGAATATGTAAATTGATCAGCAGGTGAAAATGCCCTTGACTCTGCAAATTATGTATAGGATTACCTTCCTCATGCCAATTGAAAGCACTAACAGATTTAATATGTCTCACCCACAGCTGAAGTGAGCTGTTCACATAGCAAAATGAGACTGTAACAGATATAGCCCATTATTTGCCCCTCAGTAATTGTTTTCTCTTCTAAAATACAAACAACATTGAAGAATGATGCTAAACCTAATTATAATAATTGTAATTTGAAAAATACAGGTAGGCTGTCCAGAGTGGTTACAAATGCACTTAGTAGCTGACGGGTAGTTTAAATATTTTCATGTGGAGTCTGGGGGCTTGCTGGGGAGGACATGATGTGAATTTAAAATGATTATCCAGACGTCACTGGACAAGTGAATAACGAGCTGACTGGCCTAGTAAATCATGTGAACCTGTCAAATGTGGGAACACGTTGGGGAGGAGATGATGTCAAGTAACAGTAACTTAGCAACCTGGCATTTAGCTGTCCAGAGAATGAGTAAGAGTAGCCACTTTTAAATAGCTGAGTAAATAAATGAATCCCTATACGTCTTAGGTGTGCTATAAAAATAGCCCAGCACCGTATGTTTTGTGTCAAGCTGCTTCTTTCTCCTGGATAAGGTGATTTATTATTTCTATTGAAATGAAAAAATGGATTGAAAAGTTAACCCAAGTGTAAATGTGGATCTGT